CCTACTTCAAAGTTTCTTAAGGGTATACAACATATTAAACCCGTGTAACAAAAGGTTAAGTTAGATTCCGACCCATATTTCGTTTAACAATATTGCATACAGCGCCATTTCCCCCTGGTGGTGAGGTTTCGAACTTCCTTTTTTTCGCGGAAAATAAATTCCCATGACCTCCTTTACACGATTACCAAGTTTGATAACATTTGATCCAGTAGTTTTCCTTTTATGACCGTTTCAATGTGGAACTTTAATTATAACCACTCTGTATATTATTAAATTTTAATTTGAAGCTATGCGTTATATGTATACCATGCGTAAATTTTTCGCTTTTATGGAAAAATAAAAGAATCGAAGCAAATATACTTAGGATAATGGACCAAAACTGAAAAAATTTCCCCTCCCTCCGAAAATAAAATATTGAAATTTCGACCTTGAATTTATTGGGTTATCGAAATATTTAATTTGACTTATCTTCTAAGTCCTAGTTCCGACAACAATTCCGTCAAAAATTCCGAATTACTTAAGCTGAAGTAAAAGATTTAGTATATATTCACTGTATGTTAATAAAGTAATCAGAGTGTAATAAAAATAGATTATAGAATTTACGCTGATGCAACTTTTTGTCTGACTGCACAACATGTAATGGAAGAGAAGGCTTGTAGAGATCTGTTTTTGACATGCCTCTAAAAGTAGATGTCATACTCCTTTTGTCTCTTCAATGTCAAAAAACTTTCCTTTGAGAGGCAACTTTAGTTTTTGGGAAAGAAAAAAAATCACAAGAAGACAAATTTGAAGAACATGCAGGACGATTGAGTACACATACTTATTTTCGGAACACAAGCGGTTCTCCGACTGGTTATTGAATAATGAAAAGATGCATTGTCATGCAATACAAAACATTTGGAATACGTTTTCTGACTGAATAACGTAAGATTAAAAGTCATCTGCTTAATTCACAGCCATTTACAAGTCAACTACTCGGGCAATTGCAGAATCGTTTTGATCCTGAGCTTGTAAGACAAACCTAATATCACTGGATTTAAACATTTCTTTAATCTTCCGAGAACGTTCCTTCTTTAGCTCATATTCCAAGAATATTAAGTGAATACAATTATTGCAAAAGAAATTGAATATTCATTTGCACTACGGCTTGGTAGTTTACTAACGAGTTAACAAAACTTAACTAAAATTCTGCTTTTTGTGTCTAAGAATACAACAATATTTTAAATATTTACAAATAAAATATTAAACTGGAGATTTAATTGGAGCCTCAAAAGTTGCCTAGCATTTGAAGATTCTTAAATACTAATTGTTTGTTGCGAAGTCTAACCCAGGCTGCATGGTTGGTTTTCGTAGTTTTCTAGGTTCTCTTTACAAAGGTTCTCTCTATGAAAGCATCTTAATCAAATAGCTCCCATGTTCTTTCTATGTTCAAATAACCAACTAACCTAGTTTAAGCGCGATTTCCAAGTGAAGTTACTAGCAAAACCCGAATACTCATTAAAAATCATGTAGCTTGCCAATCGGGAGTAACATGAAAGATACGGCGCCAATAATTGAATTGCTGTTGTTACGGTACGCTGTTTCTAAACTTAGATGGTCATTCCTTAATTAAATAGCCCACCAGCGGCCGAGCGGTAAAGACGCTGAACACTGGTAGTTCGGTCCGAGGTTCGAATCCCGCGAACGGGCTGGCCGCATGGGCGTTTTCGTGGTTTTCCCCATGTGTAACGTGTATACGAGCCAGTTTCCTTAGAAAGTCCTCCACGAAGGCATCCCTCCCTTTAGGCAGATAGCCCTCGTGTGCTTTGCCATAATTAAATAATCCAATCCAATCCTTAATTAAATATAATTGATTTGTAACTTGAAAATAAATAATAATATCGTGTGCAATCTTGATTAATATAAAATTTAAAAATATTTGCATTCAGACAGAAAGTTTTTTGAAATATTTGCAATTACTTTATAAGAAGGATTTATTAATAACCGTAATAATTACTTATTATATTACTGATGATTAGGATTCAGTTCTTGACAATTACATTCTAAATTAGAATTTTAAGGATATAATGAAAATACGCTACGCACAAAAATACATTTTAGGATAAAAAAAAATTTTTTATGTTTTTTAAAACTTCTTAAATTCATTTAATAAACATCGTATCCTCGTTGTTAATTGAATCCAGAATGTTGGGTGTCGTTTATATAATTATTCTTACTTGTCCACAGAATCTGCTGACTTATCCAGCCATTAAGTAGCTGCAGATCATTTCTACATAGCCATTGAACTTCCATTAATTCTCTAGAGGGTTGTATGTTTATATCATAATTTGACTTTTATAAAAACTATTATCTAAACCTTATGTTTCTATAAAAAATATAGTGCTTTAAAAATATGGATGATAGTATCAGCCGCTCTTTCAGCCACTTCAAAAGCAACAGTTTGTTTAGAAATAAATTATGCAGTTAATGTCATAAAATTCAAATAAATATCAAACGAAAATTCTCAGTTTTAGACAATTCGATTTAAAGGAAGTAAAGTAGCAGACGATAAAACGCCGAAGGTAAAAAATTTACTCTTACAAAAAAAAAAAAAAAAAAAAGAAAAATTTCAATAAATTTAAAAAATAGCATCTTTCATATAGTATTAATAAATATTTATTACGCATCATTGAGGGAAAAAATGTCATATAATTAATTCTCCGTAAAATTTTACTTGAAATTTAAGGTTAAAAATAGCTGTGGCAATTCACTGTAACAAAAATCCATAGACCACATTTGGCGTTATTATCGCTCAAAAAAAAAAATGCCAAATTTCAAAACGCGAAAATATGTAAATTCGTGTATATCTTAGAAAATTTTGAATAAAAAAGTCTAATTTTTTGCAGATATGCTTAAAAATACACCTACTTTAAGATGATGGTAAAAATTTTATAGGTTATAATTCAAAATTTTTTTCGAAAAATTTATAAAAATTATTTAAAAATAGAAATTTAAAAAAAAACACAAAAAAATGGGTAAATTTTATTTGGAATGAACCTAAATTTCGGAATGTGAGAGAAAAAAATCAAAAAAGTTTAATAAAAAAAGAGATATTAATAAATATTTGCCAAATTCAATTAACATTGAGGAGCTAAAATTTTGAGAGCTAATATTTAAAAAACTACTCGTACGATTTTTACAAAACTTGGTATTCTGGCATAATTTGAGTCGTAGAATCGAAATATGGAAAAAAATTGGTATGTTATTTCAGAAAAAGTCCGATTTTGTGTCAAAATACCTATGTTAGAATAGTGCTATATATAAATCTAATATATATCCTAAGTCGCGCTTTCGAGACATGAAAAACGCAGTTTGAATTTTGTCAATCGGCCCAGTAGAACGGGAGATATAGCACTGTCCCTTTTTTTTTTTTTTTTTTTTTTTTTTTTTTCGTAATGTAGGGAATAGAATAGCTCAAACTAAGGGGAGTTTTTGTTGACAATTTATTTTAAATTAAGAAAAAAAATGAAGTCTGCTAATGAGGTATTTTTGATGGTTTAAACAACGGTACTTTAATTGATGTTATCTTAGTCTGTCATAAAGTACATGTATTTTAAACTGTGAAATTTTATTAGATTTTGATTGGGCTTTTTTAACAAATATTGTTAAAAAATAAAATTTAATAGTGGCTATGTAAATCCATAATGATTAAGGTTATTAACCTACCTAATTTAATTATTGATAACTAACTGTTTACGCTTAAATTTTTTCTCTACATGTTAAAGCGAGTTATTGCCTTTCATTAATACTCACTGTGGTCAGGCCCACCAGCAGGCGAGCTGTAAAGATGCTGAACACTGGTAGTTCGGTCCGAGGTTCGAATCCCGCGAACGGGCTGGCTGCATTGGTGTTTTTGTGGGTTTCCCCATGTGTAACGTGTATACGAGCAAGTTTCCCTTAGACAGTCCTCCACAAAGGCATCCCTCCCTTTAGGCAGATAGCTCTCGTGTGCTTTGCCGTAAATAATCCAATCCAATCCACTGTGGTCACAAGATAAAATACAAAAATGTAAAAATTCAAGTAAAACGTATTCTTTCCATCTAGTGAGACTTAAAATAATACAAAACAACTTATCACCTCTGGTGCTTTTTATTGGAACCTTAAAGCATATTAACTGGGTTATAACCCCTGAACTCTACACGAAGCTACGACACTGACTGCATCAAAAAGAGCCTGACTGACTTTCAACACTTGCCAACTGTGCCTACATCAGGCCTTTCAAGTTTGTTCGAATCAGCAGGTTTCTCTCTAGATAAAGCAGTAGCGGTGACAACATTCAGTCTTTTATTATGAATCATGCTGATTATGATCTTACTTCTTATTTTAACATATGCCGTTTGACAAAATCTACCTGCTATTTATGAAATCAAGTAGACTGATCATGTGACAAAATGAGGCATAACAAAAATCAACATAAAGCTACTATTAGTAAAACGTAAATGTCACTTATCTTCTTTCAAATATGTCCAACTATTATAAGTGTAATATTTAATGCTACTTGATAAATTGCATAAAGTTTATTTTATTCTCAAACTTATTAATAATTATGTTAATTAATTCATGTTTAGTAATAATGCATACTATTTAGGGATCTGTTTTTTTTAGGATGGTATTACAAAAGTGAAATTCAGGCATAGATAATATTTTTAATTGAATTTATTCAGTTCCCATTTGCTCATAGGTCCTTAATTTTTTTCATTAATGGTCCTTAAAAGTCCTTAATTTCCTTGTGCAGGAATGTGTACGAACCCTGTATCAGGTAAGTGACCATGTCACTCAGAGCACTAAGCGGAAGTTTTTGAAATGACAGGGGATTGGTATCATTTCAAAAACATAAATTATATAAATGTATTATATAATTAACTTCAGTTTAAAAGTAGATTTATAACTTAGGAGAGTTGTTTTTACTGTTACAAATAACTGTATCTTTTGCAATTATTAAATATGCTATTATATTTCAGGTACATCTTTGGAAAGTTTGCTTAATCAAGAGCCTAAAACATTGTATTCTGCAATGAGGTAGTTTATGTTCCATTTCTTTTCTCATTTGTTATTTTTATTCAGCTGAGGAAAAAATAAGAGTGCATGATGCCTTTTATAAAGTTTTAGGACTTACTTTTTCAAATGAATATAACTTCTCAGTTGTTAGAGGATTTCCTAAATTCTTTTAATGATTTTAAAATAATTTTGTATGCTGACCCAGTTTATAGCATTATTAAAAAATAAAAATGATTAATTATGTTATAGTTTTATGATTTGAACAATCTTTATGTTTTGAGGTTGCAGTAGTTTATTACTGTATATTCTAGCATATAGCACATACTTTTAATACAAAAAATAAGATCCAAATTTACAGGTGTGCATTATATGTTAGATATAAAAATGAACATTGTTGGCAATGAACTTTTTTTTTTTTTTTTTTTTTTGTAGTTAATAATTGTTTTGATCTGAAAATAATTCTAATCAAGTTCACAAATTTACCACGGCCAAAACAAAGAATGAAGTGGCTGCAATTGGCCAGCATTGTGTTGACTGTTACAAATTTCTATATAACAAGTTTGCTACTGTACAAGTTGCCCATCTCTGTTGCCAATTTTGGTACAGAGTATGCAGGAAGACTGATCAAGGAGTCTTCTATCCATCTTCTTCCTACCATCAACTTCTTAAAGGGAATCTTTCCACTCAGTGGTATACTGTGCATTTATATGCTGCAAAGACACTGTATATCTATAAAGATACTTGTATGCTTTCTCTGGGATTTGAAGCTCTAAACCAATATGGCCATTGGTGCCACTAATCACCATACTGATCAGAGTGGTAGTAATAATCCCTAGTACATTTAACTTCCCTCTTTTTTTAAAAATACTGTTCATTTATAGAAAGAAGTTTAGATTGAATATGTTTATTTTATGTAACTAATATTGTTTCAAAGATTGAATGTATACTGGTTGAAAGTTTTCATTTCTCTTTTTCCTAAAGTGTTGTTTCAACTAAAAGCATAATAAGCATTTCAGAAATTCTGTAAAAATGTTATGGGCAGTGAAGGAGTATTCTTTTACCTTACTTATACTTCTATGCTGAGATGTTAGGAGTATTAGAAGGAATATAGACTAATGGCTGAATAGTTGTGAATATTTTACTAAATCTGAATTTTTACAAATTTAATTCTAATACTTTGTAGATGCCTTCTCTTTTCATTCAGTGGTTCTAAAATTCATGTTTTCTGTATTTAATGCTTTTAAAATAATTTTGTATACTGTCCCAGTTTATAACATTATTAAAAAGTAAAAATGATTAATTATGTTATAGTTTTATGATTTGAACAATCCTCACGTTTTGAGGTTGCAGTAGTTTGTTACTGTATATTCCAGCATATAGCATATACTTTTAATACAAAAAATAAGATCCAAATTTACGGGTGTGCATTATAGGTTACAGGGTTGCCACGCTACCTGGAAAACCGGGAAAAGTCAGGGAATTCGGAAATTGACCAAAAAATTCAGGGAAAAGTCAGGGAATTTAAGTGTTTTAGTCAAAATCTGAAAAAGTCAGGGAATTTCATCTGGCATAGAGCCAATTTTCGCAGCTCCAATTTGATTGTCTTTTTAGAAAGGCAAAGCAAGTTTCCCTCAACTTTTGGTTTCCAGTAACCTCGAGAATCGCATGTGCAGTGCATGAACTAAAGAAAGTACCTGTTCTCGTATAAAACAAAATGGTTTTAATCCTAGTATACGGTACCATGAAGGTTAGAATTAAAAAAATATGTATTGTAAAGACGGAAAACCTCTCTGCAACAGACGTGGCTCGGTTCCATCATAGCGGGAACAGCTGTGCAGCTGTCGCCAAAGCTCGAAACCGGTGTCGAAGTTTGAAGGTCACGTTATCAAGAGTTCATAAAATGAATATCGTTTAAAATGTCTTTAAACTCTAAAGGAAAAGAAAATATTTTTTGGCGCAAGTAAATTAATTCATGGATTAGTTATTTTGAGGGGGGGAAATCTACGAAAATCCGTTTTTAAAATTATTGCGAAAAATCCAAGAAAAAACGTTCTTTGATAAAACGTTTCTTCTTGGATTTTTCGCAGTAATTTAAAAACGGATTTTCGTAGTTTTCTTTTTTGTCAAAGAACGTTTCTTCTCAACACGTGTTTCTCAATTTCCTGTACACATCGCGGAGAGGGAAATTCTGGCCGTTCCATCGTCAAATCCCTTGGCAAATTTTCCCTCCGCTTTTTACATAGACGTTCTTTGGTCAGAATAATTTCCATGTATGGTACAGCAGGATTTGGCGACATGATGATGAGCAGTAAACGGGTCATTTTGTTGGCGACAATTTTCAAAATCATGCGAAGGCCGTATCGTATACTAGGATTTTACCGCAAAATCTTTTTTTTTTTTTTTTTTTAATAAATACCTTGTTATTTTGCAGTAAAATAAAAAAATAGTAATCAATCATCTAGAATAACCATGTAATATAACTATATTCGCTAAAATATCGTTGATTATTCTAATTAAATTTTTAAGTAATTATCTTTATTTTTATGTTATTCATATCATTTAATGTTGCTTCTTCCCTCTAAATTTATTTATCATTAGTAAATAATATTTCCAAATTTCAGGAAATTTTCTCTGGCATAATCCTGAAATTAATTCTAGCAGTATGATGACATCACGAAATTTAATGCACATATTATTTCCTTATGTATGCTGCAAAATAAATATAAAATACCTCAATTTAGTAAAAAAATATCGTTAAATAGATTTCTTTCTTTCGTTTAGCTGCAGAACGTCTGCAAAAAAAGCCTTATTTTATTCCAGATTGGGCAGATTCTAATCTCAATCTTCAGTGGAGAAAACAACTCCTATTATAATTATATTTGTGTTTTCAAGTGTTAAGGTGCCTTTTAAGAATACACCTCACACAAATTAAATTTACCTAAAATCTAGCCTAACTTTTAGCATTGCGTTGTGATTTATAAGAACTGGATGGGCCTCGTGTTGAACTGGGGATGATCATGAGTAATAATTAAATAAAATGTACAGTTGTTATCCAATGTATATATCGTAAATTTTATTAAGTTTTTTAAGCGGAAAAGTAAAAATTATCAAACAAAGTGTAGCAAGAATAATTAAGAATAGATGTCCTCTGAGATTTATTGAATAATTAAGTGAATTTGCTACACAGTACAAGTAATACCATAATTAATTTACCTCTTAGCACAGCCAACGTACATTACGCGGATAGACTGGAATTTTCTCGAAACATACCTGGAAAACCTGGAAAAGTCAGGGAATTTCATTCTCCTGTTTGAGTGGCAACCCTGATGTTAGATATAAAAATGATACCTTAAAGAATAAGTAAAAGAGCATATAGGTATTAGATTTCTACACGTAACGTAAATTCTTTTTTTTTTTTTTTTTTTAAAGAAATGAGACAACTTATGAACTTTAAAATTTTCATTATCACATAATTTTTATTTATCAGATAATTTCCTTTATATATTCATTATTGTGCTTTCATTCATACAGAGAAAATATCCGATTCCCAATTCCCCGAATTCATAAGGGGTAGAAGTGCATTCTTACCCGAAATTATTTCTGTCTTTTCTCGAATCCCTAGAATAACATTCTTGTGCACATCTATACTGAATACCACCCACCACCTTTGTAGAATTATTTACTCCCTCATGCATTTCCCCCACATACATATTGTTCTGCTTATCGTTTGTCAATTCAATATACCATTGTTCCAAAGTCTAGGAAAAATCTTCAAATGAATGACTTTAAAATATAAGAGCATTGTCTCTCGGTTTTCTTCTTAAGAAAACCTTCCAGTTCTTAAAGAAAACTCTGTGCATTATATGGTGAATATACCTAAAAATTTAAAAACGTAGTTTGAAATTATAGAATAACAATTAGTTTGAAATTAAAATAACATTATGTGTTGGGATGTACGGTAATCACAACTGTTTGTTAATATTTTGTTTTTCCTTAATACTGGGCGCATTATATCCAATACTAAGCTTATATTTCATAGTATAAAATAATATAAAGATACATAGATTAAAAAGTAACATAAATAAAATTACATCATTTCGAATGTAAAAATTTCTTTTTCTGCACTTTTTTGTTAGTTAAATTGCATTAACTGATTTTAAACTCACAGAAATGTTGCTGATGTACTCTATTTTCTTAATTATTTATCCTTTTGAATTATCAAAAGTTTTTAAATATTCTTAATTTATGGAATGCACTATATCATTTATCATGATTGAATTACATTAGTTTGCAGTCTAAATCCTCATGTAAAATTTTTATAATTTTAGCAAAGCCAACTGTGTAAATTTCATCTTTGAAAAATGAAAGTATGGATTATACTTTCGAAATTGCTAATTTTTGTGAGGCATTTGGTTTTGTATCCTGAAACTATAGGGATTAATTTCAGTGTTGTAGTGATTCTTTACTTCAGGTAAACAAAATTCCCAGTCTTTTCACAGTAAACTATATTTTGGTGTAGTTTAAAAAAAGAAAGAAAGAAATAGAACCAATATTTATTAGAATGAAGAAATGCCTCTTTTATGTAGTTCACTTTTACTGAAAACAAGTATTTAATACATTGTACCCAACACTTTCAGATTATTGATATATTGCATTCTTGTCAAAGACCGGTGCAATCAGATGCATTCATATCCTTAGTTTAAAAATAAGTGCATGAATAAATAATGATTAAAAAAGAAAGAAAGATAACCATTTTGGAAACACTAGATTATGATCAGAAGGGATTTGACCATTAAATAAGTAAGAGAATATCTACCGTTGTTTTTGATAATATTAAAAAGGAATGAGAAAGTAAACATTTCTACATTTTTTTAATATAAAATATTATAAGATGGAATGTATTGAAATGCTAAGTTTATTAGTGTCTGAATCCAGTTATGAGGGAAATAAGAGAGGCCAGCAATCTGTGTCACTATAAAATTACATCTTAAGTTAAATTTTATTTTGGATTTAAAGCAGATGATAATCTATACAAGTAGACACTGAAATTTTGCATTTAACATATTGAATGTAAAAAATTTGTATTGTTTATTACATTAAATGATATAAAATAACATTTAGTAAGATATTCAGGTAAAATTCCTTCAGAAATGATTCGTTTTATTGTGCTTGTGAAAAATGCACTTTTATAATATTAAAAATAAATTGAAGATCTTTAGACAGTTGGTAGCAATTTTAAATTTTTATATATAGTAAAGAAACACCATTACATGAAAATTGTAAAAATTCTATGTAGTGTGAAAAAATACCGCCTTCAATACATTATCAGTTTTGAATGTTAAATATTGTATTTATCCATGAACACTTTTATGTATTATGGTACTGTATATTGACTATATTTTATATGTGTCCTACCTTGCTTTTATATTTCAATTTTCTTGTTGAGATGAAAAGATTTTCCCTTCTTCTAGTGATCATTACTCAAAGGCTCCTTTTAAGGAAAATACAAAAGTTGCTTTAGCATGTGGCAGCATAGTAGTTGCCAAACGACATCTGGATGAAAAATGGCACAGAGGCAGAGTAATTGATGCAACAGATACTGCAGGGCCAGCTCAGGTATATTCAGCTTTGCAGTTAAAATTATATGAAATAATTTTTCATGCTGGACATTTTATAAGCATTAAAATGTACTATTATATCTACCACATTTCCTCAATTATTTTTAACTTTTTCTTAAATAATTTTGAAAATCAAGAGGAGAGTGCAAGTAATTTAATTTTCAAAGGACATGGTTACGGTAAAAACATAGCAAATGAAAAGTAGTCACAGATAAATACAGGTAGCTATCACAATATTATTTCTTTAAAAGAAGCTTATATCCTAGTGAGGATACATATTTATCACATACATGTATATTTTACTCATTTGTGTTAAGGATATTAACATTACCATATCTATAAGATATCTTATATCTGCTTCACTAACTTGCACCCAGCCTGTGTTTATTGTTATCTGTACTACTCCTTAGGTCACAGATCATCCATAAATTTGAGAAAGTGAATGTGTAGCTGTCTCTTTGAAATTCATAGACTGAATATCAATTCATGTTTGCTATGTGTTGTTAGTTGGCTGTCATCAGTCTTGTATTAGGCTGGTGTAAAGTTCAGCAGTTCGAAGGGAAAGGTTCAGCATGACCTTTGTGGGTAATCTGCAAGGGTTTGTTTTTGTGCGCAAGATTAAAAACAATCTCTAAATGGGCAACAGTTTTAAAAAGTGCTTTAAAAGGCACCATACAATTGCATAATATAGTTTTGTATTTAATTGAGCTTCTTTATTTTAACTGTCATGTTATTAAATAAAGCCCAGTTCACACCAATGCAGTCACATGTTCAGGCAGAAAGCGTTGACTAGCAAGCAAGCTCAGATGCAGCATTTTTTCGAATGACCAGAGAACGCGCGAGTTGACTTAACTTCAACATTTTGACACTTGATGCGTCAGTTTCAGGCATCTCGTTTTAAACTTCCAGTTTATACCATGGTTTTTAAATGATTGCACTTTCAAAAATTCTTGATGAAAAAAAAAAGGTCAAATGGACTAATCATAATACAAATTTTGGATAATAATTTTAAAAAATGCATATGCTAATAGAATAAATAGTTTTATAAATTATTTAAAAAATAATTATAAGGATAATTCTCAAGTTTATTAGCAATAATAAACCTTAATAATTAACCATAAATAACATATGGTTAATAATTTTTGCAGAATAATTTAAAGCAATAGATTGTTGCAAAAAAATAGTGATGGATTTCGAAATCCCAGATTTTGAATTTTTCTTAAAATATATCTACATTAATTTAAGGTTGTTCTTGTTGTCTCGTGGATAAAATGTTGGTTTCTCAAGCTAAAGATTTTGGATTCAAGCATCACCAGTGGTGTTGTATTAGAGTTTGTATTTTTAAAAAAATATTTACAAAAAATAATTATCGCTAGTTTCAAAGTAGCCCAGATGATTCTTCAGTTTCCTTAACATAAAGTGTAAAAACCATACTTACCTGCAAGATACCTTAGTGCGGAGGTAACATGCTCAAGTGGAAAATTCAGCTGGTACTAGGGAATTGTACTGCACATTCGGGCCTTGCTTTTTCCTACCTTTGATGATGGCAATGAATATGCCAGTTTATTATTATTATTTTAATTATTATTATTAATATCTACTGTGACTTTTTTGGGGGGGGTAACACAAGAAGCTTGCATTTATTTTTCATTTCATTCATCATTCATGTAAGCTTAATTTTCGCTCGGCATGGTGTGCAATATCCTTCTTTTGACAACGAGCCTTTGGTATAATTCATAAGAAGATCTGACTAACTGGTATTAGTATAAAGTTGCTGTTTCATCTAATTGAAAAATTTAGTGAGTTCTGAATTTTAAACGAGGTCATGAGTAAACCATTTGCTTAAAAAAATTAAGAAAACTGTTGTTTATAAAGAAAAGAAGCTGAGTTTATGGAATACTTCTAAGCATTTTAATAGCTTCATGTTTGTTTTCCTTAACATGCATGACCACTTTTCTGACAATTTATATATGAACTTAACCAGAAGTTTAATGTTGATGATAATCTTTCATTAATTTAAAGAAATTTTGCATGAGCATTAGCAAATTTGCTAATTGTGGAATTCAATTTTTAATGCAGAAAAAGAAGTATTATATAAAATAAAGCTTTAGATAGTGGCTGTTCATTAATATATGAATGACTTCTTGAAGTAATTACTGTTACATTTAAGGTAAAAAATATGTACCTAAGGCAGAAACTAAAACTTAAAAAAAAAAAAAAAAAAAAAAAAAAAAAAAAAAATTCTGTTGTTTATTAACTTAAAAATAACTGCTTTTTTAAGTGTGATATTTAATTTAGTAATGCTGTAAATTCTACATTAATATACTTTTTATTGCATTATTTAAACCAATTAAGGGAATCATGCAAAGACATTTATGGTATTCTACCCCATGAAAAATTTACTCTCCAAAATGGAATCATGTAATTAGGATTTTTTAATCGTCATTCAGCAAAATCCATAAATAATTTAAATTAGATATATGCAACGATCCTTTTCTGGAATATCCTATTCCTACTATCCAAATGATTCTTTTCTGCAATATTCTGACAAAAATTAGTGTTCTGCTTTTGAATAATAGTTCAATGAGAGCTAGAAATTCTTCGAATTGATGAGGTGTAACACGAAAGTAATTAAAAGAAATTTTGTTTCATTCAAGCACATTTCTTCAATTAAATTATTTGCATCTCCTTGCTGCAGTCATCTCTCACGTATTAATATAAACCACTACATTCTGCTTCTGTTACACAAAGCAAGAAGTGAAGTAAGTTTTAATTGAGCAGAAATGAAATCTATTTTAATTAAAAATTGTAATCTTAAAAATTCAAGTGAAAGTTGCCGCGATGGTGTGAACTGACGTACGCGGAAAGTGTTTTTTTCCACGTTGACGCTTTTCGCCCCAACGGACCAGTGTGAATGCAGCTTAAGGTCTTCCAAAAATCTATTCAGGCAGTTTTTTTTTAAATCATTTTATTGTATTTAAAATTCACTTCTTACTATAGCCTTGATACTGTAAGAAAATATGTGCATGGATAAAAAAGCAGCATTATGGAAATGAATCATTTTAAATTTTACCTTTGCAACATGACACAAGATATTTAAGAGAATCATGTGTCACTACTGCTATTCCACACAGTCATTAAGCTGGACAAGTTATTTAGTATATTGCCTGTATGATGGTATGTTCCGTAATTAATAATTATTAAAAGGCTTACCTTGAATTGTAGATTTATAGCTACCTGGAAACACTTGACTGTGACACAAATAAATAAGATTTATAATTTTATATACACTAATAGAGTTTTTTATATGTTGACATTTTCAAGGAATACTGAATTCTTGTGTTATTTTGTTTTTTTTTTACATCTGCTGCCTAAAAACAAAATTAAAAATACATATGCAGAAAACATCTGACATGAGGATGGAGCTACCTACAGAGAAGGATGAAATAAAACATAAAACATTTTGAAACTTAACATATCTTCCTCCAGCGTAACTCTTTAAGTTTAGGGTGACAGCATAGGAACAGTATGCAAAGTATGTTTTTGCTACAATTCCAATGCCAACAGAAGAAATCAATGAAACATGGAATCTGCCCAAATTTTGTTCTTAACTGCAACAGTTAAGTAAATGGTAAAACACTGCAGTATATGCATGTTCAGAAACATTGTAAAAGTCAAATGACTATTTTTAATAAATCTATTTTTCATCAAGAAATGCAAAATCTTGATTTTTTTAAATGTTTAATTTGAGATTTACCCTGCTTTGAAATGTATATATTGAATTTTCAATTTTAGATTCTTTTGAAGTTTCTTTCCAAGGAAAAGAATCATCTCTTCACTTGCTTTCTTGATTCACCCAAGAGAGCTTTGTTCTTAAATGGGGTACTGATAACATCTGCTATCAGAATTTCGACTAGTGTGATTTATATAAAATGCTTCGACATCCTGCTCTTTACATTCTGTGTACTTACATCTGGAACTGACTTGATTCCCAGAATGTTTTCAGTAAATTTTCAACGTCTATTAAAACATGACAATTGATTGAGGAATTCTGAATTTGATTTGAAATAAACATCCTTCCTGAAATGAGCCAACCATGTTTTGACTTTAGAGCAGATGGTTGGCTTGGATTTCCCACTATCTTTCCAGATTGAATTAAATCTAAAAATATATCTATACCCAGAATGATGTTAATTTTTCTACTGATGTGAAAAGAAGTATCTGCCAATTGTAATCCTTTCAGATGAGGCCAATTGAATTCTGATATGTCAAAGTTTGGTAAATTTGATGTCAGCTTTACCACTAGAGCATTAACCAAAAAGTTCTCATTATTGAAATGAGGTGTAAAATTTAACTACTACTTTCTCAACATGTGGAGCAACTATGTCATTAAGTTGTAGAATAGTGCATTCAGATTTTTGAAATGAAAGTTTTAGTCAATTACAACATAATTCAGTGATTAAAGTTGCTTCAGAATCATTATAAATTAAAGCTTGGCATTCAGGAAACTGTCCTTGACTATTTTGCACTTTAATAAGAGCTGTTGCAAGCTCAAATTAAATAAGAATTCTTTACATTCCCTCCGAAGCAAAATTACCGCTCTTCCAAAGTGCTAGCTGAAGTTTGACATAAATGTTGATTTGGAGATGGGGTAGACTGTAACTGACTTTCAGCTGAATATATATATATATATTTCCCCTTCCAATTTGAAAGATGTGAAAAATTGCCTGATGAAAAATTGTCTGAAGTAAAAATCATCTTAAAAAAGCTAAAAACCTTAAAAACTATATTTAACTGGGCATGTGGCCTGAAACTGAGCTGTGGTAAATAACTCATCTTGATTTATCACATTCACATTGCCACTGACAGATTTTAAGTTCAAGGTGTTGCATTAACTTCATTATAAAACAGCATTATAGTGCTGATTCTGAATATTGCATCTCTCATTATTAACGTAGGCAATGCAATTTTTATTTCTTTATTTATTCTTATTAATATAGTCATATGATTTAAAAGTAACTAAATGATTAAAACATATGCATTTTACTTTAATTAATATTTTAACTAATATTTAATTTTATATGTAGATATTTTTTGTGGACTTTGGAGATAAAGAATGGGTTCCTCGAAAATTGATTCGAGAGATTTTGCCTGAATATCTGCATACACCATTCCAAGCTATAGAATGTACATTATCTGATATTGAGCCTGTGAATCATGAAAAGGGTACATTTTGGAGTGAATCTGCAATGTAAGTTATTTTTCAGTATTGCCAGATTTTTCAGATACTAGTTCAAGACAGTGTAGCATTGATGTTGTCCTTTTATTTTGAATTATTTATTAGAAAAATTTCAGTCTTAAGCTGTAGAGTTTAATCTCAAACAAAAATTTACTCTTACAAATTTCAAATACATATATATATAAAGAATTAAATTTTAAAAAAAATTGCCATCTGACATTTGGATTAGGAGTCTAGTTTTAAATAACCCTTTTAGTCTTGAATTACATATCATTGTTCGCAGCATTTGCAAAAAGTGCCATGACTACATATCATTGCATATCCGATGGCACCATACTATTCGCATCGCGAGAGAACTCTTATCTCAAAATATATTTATAAAACATTTTAAATGATCTAATTTCATTGCAAAATGAATTTTTAAGAATTAAAAATAAATTCATTGCAAAGAATTAAAATGTATTTTCGTAATGTTTTTCATATGATTTTCAATAAATAATTTCGTATTGAAATACAATTGACATTACTTTAATATTTCTTTATTTCATAATATGCTTCCTTTTGAATTTTGTAAATATCATTCTTCATCTAGTTTTTATGAGCATTTTCCCAAACATTTGCAATTTCATCAACCTGTTATTTTCCGCATAGGTACAATACTTTCAGTTTTTCAGACATTAAAAAATGTCTTTTTCTGTTTGTACTGAAAGAGTTAATACCCGAAACAGTGTTTAGTGAAATGATTGCTATACATCTACTAATTCAAGAGTGAATCCCCAGAAATTCAAGATCTGGAATTGTTGAGTATTTATGATTCTAGAGTTTAAAAGTTCCGAGATTTCAGATTCCCAGTTTAAATATCGTAAGATGGCATCTAGACATGCCAGTATTGGAATTTCACTCAAAGATGTATGTGGTTGTTCTAATTGGCATGGTCAATTTTCAAAAAGATATCAGCACCATTTTGCAAATTGTAGAGACTTGGCATAATGGCACAAAAGTACTTGGCCTCCTCCTTAATGAAATCAATTTTATATCTCAAAGAAAGCAGGGTTGCCACTTAAACAGGAGAATGAAATTCCAGGTGAGACACAAATTAAACAGGAAAATGAATTTTCCAGGTGTGTTTTAAGAAAATTCCAGTCTAGGTGTGTAATGCAAGTTGGCTGTGCTAAGAGGTAAATTAATTATGGTACCACTTGAAAATGCAAAAAATTTGCCAATTACATATGACAAAATCGCTTTTCCCCAAAATTACTGTTATAACTATGATATAATAGGAGTTGTTTTCTCCACTAACATTGTGATTAGAGTCTACCCAATCTGGATTAAAAAATGTCTTTTTCAGAGACATTTTGTAGCTAAACGCAAGAATCCATTTTAAAAATAAATTCAGGTATTTTACATTTATTTAGCAGCATGCATAAGCAAAATATTATGTACATTAAATTTCATGATTGTATTCATATTGCTAGAATTAGTTTCAGGAGTATGCCAGAGAAAATTGCCCGGAATTTGAAAGTATTATTAACTAATAGTAAATAAATTTAGAAGGAAGCAGCCATATTAAATGATACAAATAGCATTAAAATAAAGTTAATTACCTAAAGATTAAAAACTGAATTGCAATAATCAACTATATTTTGGTGAATATAATTATATCAAATGGTAAGCCTAAATGACTGATTACTGTTTTTTTTTTTTATTATTTTTATTATTTTACTGCAAAATGACTAATAAGGCATTTGTTAAAAATTTTTAAAAAATTTAAAAGATTTTTGTGGTTAAATCCTAGTATACAGGACATCCTTGGCACGATTTTGAAAATTGTCACCAACACCAGAATGACCCATTTACTGCTCATTATAATATCGCCAAATCCTGTGTGTACTGTATACTGGGATTGAACCGACTTTGCTTTATTTGAGAATGGAAAGGTATTTTCTTCTGTACAAACGCATGCGAATTGCTCGATTCTCGAGGTTACTAGAAATCAAAGCTGTTAAGAAAACTTGCTTTGCCTTTCCAAAAGGCAATCTGATTGGGCCTGTGAAAACTGGCTCTATGACAGCTGCCTGAGTGACGCTCATGTGATACATAATTTGTCAAGAAAAGTGATCACTTCCAATGTTGGTGTAAAAATCATTTTGGGGGGGGGTCGTCGCATGAAATTCCCTGACTTTTTCAGATTTTGACTAAAATATTTAAATTCCTTTACCTTTTTAGTCAATTTTCGAATTCCCTGACTTTTTCTGGTTATTCAGGTTTTCCAAATAGCGTGGCAACCCTGAGAAAGTAACTTTCATGAAGTTACCAGCGTGCCAATATGAAGATCTTTATCTTGGTAAATAGTTGCTAACTTGTTATAAAGATGGCAGCACTTTTATGCATTTTATAAAATCGTGTAGATAATGGTACAAGAAAATTTCTTCTGTTATGCAATAGAATTAAGAATTTGATCCAACGATTATGAATTTGTGATGAGCTAATCTTAATGGGGTTAAGATGGTGAGTTTAATATGGTTACTATTAGCATACCTTTCGGTTTTCAAGAATGCAAATACATCTTTCTTTTTTCCCTATGAGTTTTACTGTATGAAACTTCTCATGTCCACCACCACAATTTCCTGAATGTTGAGTGGCATGTAGCATAAAGTGCAGGAGATCTACCATTTCGGTACTCGTTTCTTTCATCCTTAATTCTTTAAGATCCCGGCCGAGCAGAAGAGTTGCTGAGATCTGGTAGTTCCAAGGAGGTTGGTGCATGATTGCTACAGTTTGATTTTATATTTTTAAAGCCATCGGTTTCAGATGATAAGGTGGCAACACAGGCACTGGCATCACAGGAAACTTCTTGAATTCTTGATAGCCCCATCCGTTCCTGGCTTATTGTTTATGCCAGACTGAAAAATGCTAACCCCTTTGCAACCACTCAAGGACCGAAAAGTATGATTATGGCCAGCATCAACACTTATATGGCTTCCTTTTAAATATTTCTATCATTTAAATAAACTACAGCATTGTAAAACATTTGTTCCATATAGAACTAAATGCCATGCCCATGGATTTCCAATCTTGGTATACCTTTGAACCAGAAGATGTAAATCTGGGCTCTTTATTCTAGTGCAATAAGGCACTTATATTATCATTCTTTACCTGTGATGGTAATAAAAGTAGAACTTTTTTTTCCATTCAGAATGTTGCTTTTGTTTGTTAGTGCAGTAGCAATAGAAAATTCATGAACATTCATGAATATCCACCACATTCCTTTCATATGATCCCATGTGTCTTAGATCTTTTTATCAGAGTTGCAGTGGTAGTAGGGAAGACCCAATGAAGAGGTAAGCATCAACATAGAAAAAGAGATGAAGACTACTTATGTGTTGATGTCAGAAGAAAAACCTTGATGGTATCCAATATTTTCTTGTTAATATAGACAAAATTAAGTTGAAAGGGATATAAAAATTTATATTGTGAAAATTAATATTTTATAATGGCGATATTTTACATTGATGAATGCTCTATATCATATATGAACACATCATCTCTTTTATATACAACTATTGTACTTTGTTTCTTTAAGATTTAAAGGTATGTTAGTATATATCTCCTTTATGAATCCTCCATAATAAAACGAAAATAATTTATTATTTTCTATTTTCTATTTTTATTTTTATTGATAATAATTTCTATTTTTATTGATTTTTCAGTCATAAATCTCAGGGCTAGGACTAAAGTGGTTTAGCTGCACTAATAGGAAAGTGTCATATTTCATATAAAAATTTGAAAAATAATTTTAAAAGAAAATGAAATTATAGTAAATAAAAATAAATTAAACATTTGAAGAAGAATATTCTTGAAACCTTTTCTATGTTACATACTAACTCCAGTGAAGAACACTTGAATAAATTTAAATAAAGTTTCTTAGGCTAAATCTTGCCTTTTTTGAATTAAAGCTTGGTTAATTTCATATATCATGACAAATAACTATTTAATTCATCTTAAACCTTTATCTTCCTTTATGAGTAATAAAACTTAATTTTTTCAAGTATTTCTAAATAAAGGTTATTAATTATGAGTCAGTATTTCAGTTATTATTACTTATCTGTATATTCTGTCATGGAAAGTAAGATATTTCAGAAAGAATGCATTTACATAAGCACTCAAAGTAGTAAGGTAGAAGTGTCTGAGAGCTCTTGCAGTTGAATTCACCAGTGTGTTATGAAAATTTTAGAAAAAAATTCCCTCTGATATCCTAAAGAGCCCACTAGCCACCAAGCTGTAAAATTGTTGAATACTAGTAATTACGACCGGGGTTTGATTTCAGGCAAATGGGCTGGCTGCATGGGCATTTTTATGATTTTCTCCATGTGTAATGTATATACAAACCAAAGTTCTCCATGAAAACATTCCTTCCCTTAGGCAGATAGCACTAGTGTGTTTTGCTGTAATCAACTAAACCTTGTATCCTGAACATATGTGAGCGCAAAACATTGAAAAAAATTATATATTGGTTGACCAATGAGTACCAATAATAATTACAATAGAAAAATATATATAATATAAAAAATTAAAATGTGTAACTTTCATAAGAAAAAAAAGGAAGAAAACCTTTTTGATTTTGAAATCTTGTAAAGTGTGGTTTTTTTTTTTTTTTTTTTTTTAAATTTACCTTTTGTTGTAGTTAATGTCTTTTTAAGATTCTCATAAGTTTTTTTCATTTAACAGAAAAACTTTTATGCAACTCGTAGAAAGGCAAGTGCTGATAGCACACATAACATACAGGTATTATTTCTTTATTTATTGTATGAAACTGGTGTTTAATAGAATTCATATCCTAAAAGAGCATGCCCTCTGTACATGACAATAGAAACAATAAATGGATCTGTTCTGTTGCAGGGCATGTGCCAAATAATTTTCTGTGTCAAGATATATGTACCAGTATTATCTTTTCGCCACCATCGAATTAAAATTATTTTTCTTTTCTCTTACAACAGAGCTCTCATTTTCAAAGTAGTGTTGTGGATGAAATGCTTTTAAAGTGTGTTATTCTATCTTGTTTTTTTTTGTTTATATAAGTAACCAATCTAAGAGAGATATTTCATATGTTTTGAAAAAATTTTTGACAATTGAAATGAGCTGATGATGAAAGTATGTTTTCTTGCATGAAGTATCAAGTTGGCAGAGATATCTTTGAGAAAAATGTTTGGTGTTGTGTTGTGCCTCAAAGGGAAAGATCAGTATATTTTTACCAAATATCCAGAATAAGTTCTTTATCTTATTTACACTATTGATAATAAAAGTTTTTGTTTTTAAATTGATGTGATTGTAATCTGAATCCAAAGCCAGTGTGGATTCATTGTAATTGAAATTTTCTCATTCCATAAAGCTGATATTGAGTATATAAAGTTCCTGTAATATGAAATTCTCGTAAAGAAGTTAAATATGTGGCTTTTAAATGATGAATTGATTGATGAAATGTTTTATGAAAATTGTACTCGATGTCAGTACAAACCTTATGACAAGTCAAAGTTAAGAGATTTAATATACCCATAATTTACAATTAGCCTCTGTGGCAAGGTTAGATTTCCTGAAACTTTCTCTGATAATTCAAAAAGAGAAGAAGTAATAACATTTCTTTGTTTTATGACCATTTAAAACTGGGGAGAGGGATATCGGATACTACAGTTATTTATTTAAATATTTGAATAATTATCCTATTTGTAGAAAAGAAAGCATAAATTATTTCTTCAAATCTGGTGGAGAATTTGGTCCCCAGGTTCACTGCATGATTTTTAAATAATGAATGAATCAGTGAATGGAATGTTTTATGATAATTATGGGAATAATGTTTTTTGGGAACTTATGCTGATTCAATTGTAATTGAATTTCACTATTATAATAATTTGTGTACAGTTTATTTAAATTATAAGTATAGTAAAATTCCAGTCATTCAGACTTCCAGTATCCACGACTATGGTGTTCTAAATACTCCAAAGCCAAACAAAAATAAGCTGTAAAATTAAACAAAAGGCAGTTTTATATCAATATTTTAAATAATTCTTTATTAGTTTCAAGAACATTCAGTCCCTCTTCAAGTGAGAAAAAATTGTGCAGTATTTTTTCCCTCCTGAAGATGAAATGCATGCCTGATCACTGTCAAAGTCAGTGGAATTTTATTTTAAAACTATTCTAATGTAAGTTATTTGGGGGGGCGCAAGGCAGCTAATTTAAATTTTAAAAGACAAGGGAAGGGAGGTACTTTGCTTAGGATGTTGAAGTGTGCTAAATGCATTTTCTTCATGGCTTGACCTTTCAAACCAAGCAATCTTCAGAAAAGGAAATGACAAACTATTGTATTTGTAAAATAAAATAAAAAAAAAAAAAAAAAAAAGTGTAACATAGTTAACAATAAAGAGTCCTTATTTATCAAATAATCCATATGAAATTAATGGAAAAATAATTACTATGAAATTCTAGTTATATGCAAGTTTGGGATCATAGCTCATCCAAATGGTGGGAAATTCCGGACAATTCAGTAGCTTTTCCTGTGTGTCCTGGAGAAAACTTTTTTAATTCTGTTAATGGTATTAACATAATTCTAACAATTGTTTTCTGAGCATTTTTCTAATAGTGCGTTTCCTTTTCAATGTCAGATTAACTATAAAAAATGTACTTTAATCTTTAAGGTAATACTTTTCTCAAGAATAATGAGCACTGTAAACAATATTGTAAATATTCTTGGGTGAAAAGTAGATGTAATGTTACCGCAACTGTTCAGTGTATTTTTAGAAGCAACAATAAGTTTTGTATACAGTGCACTTACTAATTGCTTAATGATTATTTGCTAAATTGTATGTAGTGAATATTGTATTATTATTGAATTAAATAATCTGAATATATATATGACACGTGTATGGGTTTATGATAAATTATTTTTTTATTCTAAGCCATTAAGTAAGTCGTGTGTGAGCATATATATATATATATATATATATATATGCATTCCTGTTTATATCCATGTCTTGAAAGTTTTAAAAAAATGTTTTCCATGTTTGGAAGTTTTTTTATAAAACAGAAAAATGTTTGTGTTTTTCTTATTAATGTAATTCATATTTTTTAAACTTATAATTTTGATTTTGAAAGTTGAGGATCTCATACATTTAAAGTTTATTCTTTACAGTTTTAAAGTTTCAAGATTCTTAAATGACAGAAATTTAAAGCAACTTTCTTAAAGACATTCAAATCCTGATTAAATGAATATATTAATTATTATTATAATCCTGTTCATTAAATAAGGATTTATTTTATTATATTTACGAGTTCCCTGTGACCATAGGAAAAAAAAACATGCAGATTTATTGACTAATTTTCCAAATTAAAAATTTTAAAAATAATTTTTAATGAAAGTGTGGGCCAGTTTAAGTGTCTTCCTTTAACTACATATGAACCCTGTTTAGATACAAGTAAGAATTATTGATGTGATAGATTTATTGCAAAAGCCATTTTTTTTTTCTACCGAGCTCTGTACAAGAAACTATAATTATATACAGTATTAGATGTTTAGTTTATGTTTTGGCCAACACATATCGTTAGTTAATTGCAGCCTGTTAGTTTTATTAATTAATTGAAAAATGAAATTCAGAAAACATAATTTAGATTAATAATGAAAGATTTGGAAATGAAATTTTAAACTATTATATGTAAACTCAAGATTTGAAATGTGATTTTTGTAAAATAGAGTAACATCAAACAGTTTGACTTCTGAAAGTTGAAAATTGATTTATACATAATAGAGGAAGGTAAAATTTGGTGTAAGGAAATATTTAAAGAACACTTTTTATAAGATGCTAGAGTTTGTGGATGTTTAAAACGGGAGTGAATTTGACTTTGTTAAGACTGTAATTAATCTGAGAATTAGTACTACTGAGCATATACAAAAGAATGCAGTTTCAAAAGTTAATAAATATGTATGGGTATATACATTATCAGCAGGGTCCAAGTTCATTCCTGTAAAAATGGGAGGGAAGTTCTGTCTACTTGTAGAATATAATTATCATAATTGGCTTCAGGTAACAAGCACTCTTACAGCATATTCCGATATGAATCACAAGTCACAGTTCTGTCATAGAATAAAAAGGGTTGTATAGAATCATGATGCATCTTTTTAAACCATGCAGAGAACTCGTACTGCATTGTAACTATAGTTGTAGGATCTTCATAACAGGACACGCAGAAACCTTCTTTTGCTGAAACAACATCTTGCAGAGTGACTGCATGTTCCTTCAGTAAGCACGAGAAGTAAACTGCTAGTAGTGCATGAGAAACTTGGATATTTGCTATTGCTGATTATATGGGCTCTACCCCTGTGAGAAATAAATTTAATTACTCCATTGATTTGTGTATATCCTGTATTAAAAAATATATATTTTATATGAGGTAGAAATTGTGAGTTCTATCAACTTGTAAACCCTATTTCTTACATTAATATTGTATTTCAAAAGCTATCATTTTTTGCAGGTTGGGTAAAGTTCTTCATGTAACATTGATGAAAACGTCCAGAGAAAATAAGTCCAGTGTAGGTGATTATCTTGTCAGTGCGGGTTATGCGCAGTACCAATGTCCCCAAAAAACGTCATCAGCAAAAAAAGAAATTTTATTTATACCGGGTTAAGTGTTTGTTGTATAGTACTGTTCTTAGCCTGCTATAAAAGTGCCTGATATATATTTTTTTTCTAGAAAATGAATGTTTTCTTTATTTATGTTATATAAACCTAGATCTGAATAAATATTTTTCTTTCCGTCTCCTTTTCTGGTAAAGTGCCTTAATTTAAGAAAAGTTTACAATTCCTCAATGTTACTCCTTCCTTAAGTGCCAAAGCTTTTTAAACATTGTCATTAAATGCTATGTTTGCATAACTTTTATTACCCTGACGTACAAAGATTCATTTTTATTGTTTGTTTCATATGTCATTAAATGGTATGAAATTTTCAATATTTTGGATTTGATTATTGCAAAGGAAACAGGGCTGTTTGCCTGAGGGGATGCCTTTATGGGCAACTTTCTAAGGGCAGGTCTATATTTACATTACAAATAGGGGGGAAAGGCTCATTCGGCTATGGAAGGCAACTGTGTAAGTTAATTCATGTTAATTTATATTTAGCATTTCACTTATACTAGCATGGTGATCAGAAAGAAGATTGACTTTTAGCATTTCCCTACTTTCTTATTTTATGTTAATTTCTATTCAAAAAGAAAGGCAGAAATTAATAATAAAAAAAGCATCTTTTCTAAATGAATGCTTTTTAATTGAATTTCGAATTTACTTGTTAGTAGAGATTTTTGTTATGTTTGGTGATAAGAGATATTATTACTTAAGAAAAGAAGCAATAAGTATGTATTCAACTTTTATGGAATACTGCATTTCTTAAGAACAACATAGTATAATAAAATAATAGAAAAAATATAAAATTGTTAATAGTAATATAAATAATAATATAAATATTAATATAAATAGAAAAATAGAAAATTGTTAAAAAATTTATAGCAAAATATTAGTATGAATTTATATATATATATTTATTTATACATATGTTTTTATAGAATTCTTAAATGCTAATCATATTTCAATTGTTAGACTGCAGAATACAGTTTTCTGATTGCACGTTCACTTCCCTCATGTCCGATTCCTTGAAAGAGGCAAGTTTTGATCCTTCTTGAAATGTTATTCTTGTGTAAATATTACTTCTTTTCTAAATTAATTTGTACATATTTGTAGATACAAACATATTAACCCTCGCTCATCCTGCGATTTCCATGGGCAACTCAAATGAAGCAAAATCTGATCATCCCGCGATTTCCACGGGCATGTGTTTTCTTCCTTTATTAACCCGGCGTAAATCGCATCAAGAAAAGTTACTAGAGTGGGCGCGTGGGGTATCACATACCCCAATATTTAAAATATGATAAAAAATAGTATCATTTAGTTTTAAAACTTTTTTTTTTTTGTATATAAATATGTGAATAATAATTGGATTTCAAAAAATTAATTTCCGAAATAATCTTAGAGTTAAAATTAAGATAAATGAAAATAATAATAAAAAAAAAAATAAACATCATGCCTCTAAATTTCATTGCATCTCTAATACACCATGCTTATTTTGTTTCTTCACACTTTGAATGAAATACATTCATGTGTTCTTGGCACAGAATGTTTTCACATTTTAAGCATTGCATTCACATTCTTCTGTCCTTGGTGCGAGGGCAAAAAATTTATCACATCTTTCATACTTAGTTGTTTCGAATTTCATGTATTCGTTTTAATTCTTCGTCGAAACTTCTGCAATTTGTTTTGCATGCAGTATGTCAATTTCTTGGAAAAGTATTAATCTCTGATCTTTGTTCAATGCTTTTTTTCATTAATTGTAATGCTAAGTCCTTCAAAAACAGACTTCTGTTTCTGGTTGGTGGATTAGCAGTTGCATGTAATATAATTCAAGCATTTATTACAGCAACATTCAGTGCAGGAAAGAAAATTACCATTGGCCACCTCCTTATAATTCTGGCAATTGAATAATTGGCTGACATTTCATCCCCCATATCCACTGCTCCTTTAGTCATATTATTAAAACATATAATTCCTGACGTTTTATTTTCTCCAATAGTATCATCTATAAAATGATTGTTATATAATATTGAAAGCATAAGAACAGTTTTTCCTTTTTTAGGAATATCAGGAATTAATTTTTAATCTTTTTTGAAACCAAAACTTTGTAGAAAATATTCTTAGTTTCATCTTCAGTTTCCGAAATGCAATCTTCATCGCTTTCAAATATTTCTAATAAATCTCACATGCGTTGCATCTCCAGTTCATAGGGACTCATTCTTTTTACCATAATGCAGTTAGAAATTTTTAAGAATTTAATGTCAAGTACTTTAAAATCACTTGCGAGTAGAAATATTTGTTACACTCTAGAAATAAATTTCTGAACTAAATATTCAGTCAGAAAAATACTTACACGGACAGGCGCATGGGGTGTGTCATATCCCAGTTCCAACAAAATACTGATAAATCTTTTTCTGAAACACACAGGCAAAGAAAACGCGGTTCTGAAAGTCAAGTGCAACTAGAAACTCAGCTACTGAAAGCAGCACAGAATTTCAGTTTCACAAGTTAGGAATATTCCACTTTTATGTAGGGTTGGGGTATGATACACCCCACTCGCTTTCCCGCGGGTTAAGGAGCACATCCCATTTTTTCCCCCGTTTAACTCCTGAAATTAATTATATACAGTATTAGATGTTTAGTTTACGTTTTGGCCAATAAAATATCGTTAGTTGTCCACTAAATTGCGGCATTTGAAGGCACATGGTATTAAGACTCAAACTCAACTTTTTGCGCTTTTTTCTTACAGAAATAGCTGCTAGAAAACATTCAGCAATTATCTTGATTATATAATTAAATTACTGAATTATTAATTAGATTTATTGATTAGATTAATTATTAATTAGATTTATTGAATCTGGTGCAAAGACTGTGAAGTTGGACTTTGCCTTGAACCCTCTTTTGAACTCTATCATACTAAACTGCATTTCTATGGTATTTTTTCTTCAGTGCTTTATATTTTCTTAAATTTTATATATTTTGCAATAAATAGAAATTAACTGTAATTCGACTAAAATTTATGGGGGGGGGGGAAAAAAACATTTCTTTTGGTGATAGCATCTGAAATTGGTTTTTCTGGCAACTTAGTTTCTCATAAAAATCTGTATAAAAAATATTTTCTGGAAAGGAAAAATGCATTTTTCAATTCTCCAATATATATAGATTTAAAATATGGAAAAAAAAAAAAATTGCACAATTTTTGAAGCGATTTCGGTGCACAAATTGAGCAGTCAGAGGGTTAATGAAGTAATTCACACTTTTCTGCTTTTTGCATTATACACTAATTAATCACTAAAAATTTATATTTCATTTATTGCACATCTAAGATTAATTTACTTATCAAAAAGATTCACAAAATAAAATGTTTCTAAACATAATTAAAAATGTTTGCAATTACCTTTTTAGGTATATAAGATCTTTTATTCATATCCAATTTCTGTTACCTGTAAATGTAATATGTAAGAAATGAAAACTTTCCATTATATGTTAACAGATAAGCACTAGCAGTGCCGGATTTCTGCCTAGGCCTACAAGGCTCCGGCCTAGCGGTCCCGGTGGCTCAAAAGCCTGGCTTGCATTATCAAAAAGCTTTATTGAAAATAATATTATAATAAATAATTTTACTACATTTTGCCAAAACAGGGCACTCATAACGTACAGCCCTGCGTTACAACAAAGCTAGAATTAGGCCTCTTCTTTCCCCTCTCTTGTAAGCCCTGTTTTGTGCCAACTGTCAAGCTTCAAACATTGTGCAAAAAGCAAATTTTGTTCCACTGTACAGTGTACGCGTACACGAGATCCGCCTTCTTAGGACTGTAATTTTTTAGCCTTACCCCCTCCACAGGAGTTTACTCTCCTGTCTCTAGTCTTCTTTTGTCGATGATGGAGATACAGTAATTGATCTCGCTTCCAATTTGCATGCAACACAACAATGGACGAGCGGTTCATGTTGTTTAATGGCCCTTTTCTTTTATATTCGTTATAGAAATTACCAATGTTGTGATGTCTGACTTCAATAAAAAAATCTAAATGGGTTGGAGGAAAGAAAATGGAATAAAGAAGAATTCGAAAAGAAAAAGAACTTTTTTGTAATGTTCTGAAGTTAAACACATTTTTTGTTTTGGCTACGTCTAGACCTAGTACTAGTGCATTAGCCAGTAGCAGTTGCTGATGACCATCAACAGGCAACTCTAACAAACGTGTCTGAATGCAACGAGCTACCTGAAAACATTATTTCTGAAAACCCCATAGCAGCTACAAAAAAAAGATTCTTTAGAAAATCCTGAATCTAATTCTTCTTTAAGTGAAGATCCTGCTGAGTTACTGCTAGATGAAGTTACATTGGAGTACCTTGTTAAAAGTGGTGTGAAACAAAATATTGATGCCGACTTTTCTTCTTCAAGGTGTCAGTATGCAGATAAAACCAGGTACCTATCGCTGTCACTTTTTAGCCAAACATTAAGCAATGGTGAAACACGACCTCGACCCTGGCTCATATTTTCAAAGAGCAAGGATGCAGTGTTTTGCACCCCTTGTAAGATGCTTGGAAAATTGGGGTCGCTAGCTAATGAAAGTTACAATGGAAAAACACAGTTCAAAGAATGAAGGAACATGAGAATTCAGACGAACACAGATCAGCACTTGTGACACTATTAGCTAGGAAGAATGCTGGTGGTTGAGTTGACAAGAGTCCTGTTCTTCAAATGGAAGAAGAAATAAAATACTGGCATGAGGTTTTGAGGCGCATTGCAGCTGTTGTAAGGTCACTTTCTGCATTTTCAGATTGCCATTTAGAGGTTTCCATGAGAGATTTGGATCAAAAAACAGTGGGAACTATGTTATGACCCTAGAACTTTTGGCTGAGTTCCATCCTTCTTTCTTGGACTTGCACATAAAACGGCACAGTAACAAAGGAAGTGGCATAACTTCATATCTTTCATCCAAAAAATGCGATAAAATTATCAATTTCATGGCAGAATAGGTAATAAATACAAATGTGACTGAGATAAAACATGCCACAAATATTTCTCTGTGTGGAGTCTACTCCAGACATTTCTCATGTAGATTAACTTTCTTTCATACTGAGATATGTCTCTGAAGATTAATGTCCTGTCGAATGATTTTTGAAATTCATTCCAAAT